AAAAAAAAAAAAAAAAAAAACAAGCTTTGGTGTGAATTGTGAGAACCGCGGTTGATGTTATTTTTAACTGGTACAATACCAGTGTATTACACGGATGCTTGTTAAATTATTTCTTAAAATTTAAAATTAATTAAGTTATTTAAAATTTTAATACTATTTATAAAAAAATAAATATATATTATTCTATATTTTCAAAAGACATTTATTACTTGTGCGACTTATATGTGTTATATTATAATAATTTTTTTAACTTATAACATATAACTACTTTAAACATGAATGTACTAATTGAGAAATAATTTTCTAATTGATATTAATAAATAATTTTAATATATTTATACAGATAAATATAATATATTTACTTTATACATACAATATGGATGTCAATTTGAAGCTTATCAAAATATGATTAATTTGATATATTATATATGTAAAACCGATAAGAAATTCAAAGGTTATCAACTTTTAAAATACATTTACAAGTCAATGGTTTATAATAGTTTTTGGATTGGAATTAAATTAAAATTTATCGAAGCCAAATGATGAAGCATAGAATATTGACACCTAGGATCACGAAGCATGCGAGTCTGCCACTTAGGCTCAGCACATTCGGGAATTATATATAGGGATGATTTTGTGTACTGCTATTTTTCATATCAGATGATGCTAATGTTTTTCACAAATATTAACATAAATTGTGTTGCTATTTTGAATAAAATTCATCTTGGTTAAAAATAGCATCAGACACAATGAATCATAGCACTACACACTATCAAAAATAGCGATTCTCACACTAAACTTGGTTCTCATTTAAAGTAGTCATGCGTCATTAATATTTAATTTTAGATTGTTTATTATAATTTTAGTACAATAGTTAAATTTTATTTCATTTTTTATAATTTTTGTTTATCAATTTTTGTTTATCAATTTTTGTTAATTGTACAATAAAAAAATTATTTACTTGGAAATGTTATATTATTAGTTAGACCATAAAGCATAAATAATTATATCTCATTATTTAGTCCAAAAATAATATAATTTTTTATAGTTTTGTTATTGTCAAAATTAGTTAATAATTTATTTGTGACATTATAATTAATTGTGAAATTCTTTTATTTTATTTTTTCACGTGAAGCGGGTTGGGTAGGGTTGAGACCGTGTAAAGTCCAAATTTAAGAACTCGAGTTACCCGTTTACCCGATGAAAAATGGGTAAAACCCGACTCGATCCCGAAGATCACTAGTTGCCTAAAGGATCGAGTTTGGGTAGGATATATTATATGCGAGTTGGGTTCGGGTTTGCCAAAACCTGCCCCCAACCCGACCAGTTTACATGCTTAATTATATTTTTTAGCCAAATTAAGTGATTAAATTATTGTATAGAAATATTGGCTAAGGAATTTAATTTGAATTGAGGAATGACTAAATGTGAACAGTCGACAATACTACTATTTGATGACGGAAATAATACAAATATTAATCTTAAGTGACAGTGAAACCTGAGAAGCAAATTGCCGCGCCGCAACGCACACTTGACAACGAGAATAGATGAGCAAATTGCATTTGATCTTATTGAATAACAAATCGAAACCACTCTTTCGAGCACCAAAAACATGTGTTAACCAACGACCAATTAGAGCGGGTCTTCACAATTTCGAGTAGATTGATACACAATTCTCATCAGACTCATCACACCAAAAACATGTATTTAATTATATTGATAATATTGAGGATAATTGAGTAGAGTTAAAGTTGAGTTAGAATTTGAATATGAACTGAGGTAGATTGAGTATAATTATATACAAACACACCCTAATTAAAAAAAAAAAAAGCCTCACATATGATTTTCTTTCCACTTTCTTCTCTTGTATTATGAAAAAAAATAAAATAAAAAAATGAAAATGCCATAAATAGGGACATCAATATTTCAAAAGAAAAACAACAGTTTTCAAACAAATCCAGCGGGAATGTTAGTAAAACTTGTTTTTCAAAATCATCTTCCCGGGTTTCGATATCTCAACTCATGTAAAACCATATGATGTAAAAAAAATTCACCCGTGAGACATTCGAAAGGGTCCTGCTGCGAAAGATCTGCGGAACTTTCTAGAAAGTAATCCGTAGACTGCTCAAAAACGCAAATGTTTGTGGGGATGTCGATTTCCCAAAGAGAGAACACCATTTGGGAAGCTTCTCGAGGACCTTCTTATACTGTGGTGTCCACTTGTCAACATCCGTTCTGAGTCTCAAAAGCGGTTTTTGGGTTTTACACGAGCTCTCGGGCAGTGTCGGGCTTGTGCTGTTTTGGGCCCAGAAGAGAGAAAGAGCAAACTTTGTTGGTGCCTTTTTACCGCCCGAGAACTGAATGGTGTGCCACCCGTCCACACTGCTCTTTTCGCCAGCTGGGATTAACTCCTCGGAAGTTTCCGAATCTGTCAAATGGGAAAAGAAAATATTAGCAGTGAGATGAGAAAAGAAAGTTCACGTCTTGATCACATTTATGTGAAATTATCAATAGGTCCAAACCTAATTTGTATGTGTATTTGTAAAGCACATAACCTTAGTTTATAGCTTATTTGATTAGCTTATATAAACTTTATGTATTCAAATAAATTTGGTTTGGTAGGACGAGTTTTTTTTTTTTTTTTGAAAAGTTACATAAGCTTCCTTGAGTAGCTTTTCAAATAAGCTCATTGAAACTTTTATTTCAGATAGCTTATCAACTAACTTTACCAAACAATTTTATTATACAAGCTACTTTTTTCAGCCATAAGTCGTAATTTATCAGCTATAATCTCGAAATTCACTTAAAAGCTATAAAATCTTAGGGGTCCAAACTCCAAATACACCGAATATGAACAAAGATTATACACACGAAATTTAACTCGATGATATACCTTTCAACTGAAAATCTTCGATTTGTACAACATTAATCCCAAGAGACCACCGGGTAGAAGCTCTTGTATCTATAGTAACTTGCGTAAATCGGCTCTCTCCTTTTGAATCCTTGTCCACATGGATTGTGGGTATATCCGAAAGTGCCCACCCTTTTTTGGCATTTTTGTCCGACCAACAGCTGTAATTTACGGAAAAAGTTACAAAATCTATATGTTTGTCCTTGCCGCAAACGAACCCCTCCCCAATATCGTTAGCTTCCTTGTTCAAGTTTCCGGGAGTTGTCGAGAAGAGAGAAATGTAAGAAACCGGTTCGCGATTTTC